CGGTTGGACCTGGGGAGCTGCCCTGGCCCCGGCGCGGCGCTCAGGGGCCGCGGCGCGTTCGCGAAGCGGGAGGGCCGCGAGGCGCGGGCGTTGGTGGAGGGTGACGTTAGGCTGCGGGCGCCGCGGAGCTGGCCGACCAGTACGGCCCCTGTGCCGCGCAGGCCTCCCGCCACCCTTGACCCCTGCCCTGCCCGCCCGGGGGGACAGTCAGGCTCCTCGGTTAGGGGAAGGCCGGACACGTCAACCCCTGGACGGAAACGCTGCGCCCCGGAAGCCTTACCCCAGTGCTCTTTGACAGGCGGCAAAGTAAAATAAGTGTTTCTCCGTTTAGGTGTGAAGAGAAAAAATGACATTCCAGTGGGTGGCGGTTGCAACCTTTCTTTACGCTGAAGTAGGACTCATTTTAATCTTCTGTCTACCTTTTATTCCTCCTCAGAGGTAGGAAACCTCCAAATCGTTGCAATGATAAATATATGATTAGTTCCTTTAGACTGCTGAGTGTAATATGGAAAAAGTTTCTCAAGATTAAAAAGTTTTGAGTGCTGCTATATTATAAAAGGTGTTCTTTAAAAATAAACTAACCATTGGACAGATTAAGTAATAGATAATGACAGTATTAAAATATCATTGTATATGAAACTTTTTATTATATGTACAAATAAATTAACTTTTTCCCCCTCCCTTCTAAAAGGAAAAGGGCCTAGTCCTTTTGGTTCTGTTGACCACGGATATAACAAAGCAATGGTTATACTTTTAACACCTGTCTTGTCCATCAGGTTTTACCTTTGTTTTATTGCCCTGAACTGGAACAGTGAACTAAATAAAGATAAATGATAAATTATGTTTACAGCACAGTGTGCGTGCAGAAATGTTTCATTGGGGCAGCGGAATGACAATTTTGAAACTTAAGCCAATAAATGATTCTTAGTTTTGGCCTTATGTAACCAAGAAATAGTTTCATTAATGTTTAATAGCAGTTTTACTACCTTCCCCCCCCCGACAGAATTCATGAGTGTAAATTAAAGGTGCTGATATAAGAAGTATCAGAACCATACATTAGCATTAGTTCCTTAGTAAAGGACCATGAGGATCTTTAAGTACTAAGTATTTCAGTTGAAGCACTGGCTCTCTTTACCTTTGTAATAATGCACTTATTAGGAGTTCAGTTTTAGATGCAGAAACTTGATAGTATGAATGGTGAAATACACTTGTAATAAAAATGTTGCAAGACATTTGCTCATACTCATGGAGAAAATCTTTCATAAATGAGATCCCAGAGATAACCCGCCAAAGTTTAGTAAGATCCCAGGACTGGAAGAGACTTATGCAAGTTTTTACCTTGGCTCAGGGTCCAGCTAGTCTTTCACAGCTAGTCTTGCTTCTTACCTAGATTTCTTCTCACTTTTGTCCTTGTCTATCAGCTGTACCATCACTTTTTTTTTCCTTACTAAAGAAAAAAATTGAATCATACTGTAGGAAGGGGCCTTCAGAGATAATTTTGTCCAACCCACTCATTCTGTAGATCATATACTGAGACCCACAGAGAGAAAGCAGCCTGACTGAGGCCATCTAGCTGGTCTATGGCAGATTCCAGACAAGATGCTTGCTTTTAGTCTAGTGCTCTTTCTGCTCCATCACCTTACCTCTCATCCTGTTAATTTTGTTTCAAATCCTCAGTAACACCTGTTTTGCTTTTTGGTAATACTTGCAACACTAAAATCCTATATTCAAGAGAAAGATGTTATGTATAAACATTCGATTTATGAATAAGGCTTAAGAATTTGCAAAAAAATATTTTTTCTCTGATCTTTTCTCCATCAAAATGATCTGTTATCTTCCTGCCAAATATAATTTTTTTCCTATCCTGATCAAGTAGCTACTTGGTAGGTGTGTGTGTATGTATACACATTATATAAATGTATCCTCATGTACAAACACATAAGAAAATATGGTGTATATACACACAGATTACAATATGTCTGTACTGTGTGTATCTACATGTTTTTATCTTTTATATCACCATAATCTTCAAAGAAAAGGTTTCAGTCTTCATTTAATACTCTCTCTATTCTTTTCTTACATAACCCACTTGTTAAAGATACGTACTCAGAAGTCAGACTGCCTGGGTTTATATTCCACCTCTGCATGTTACTGTGTGACCTTGGGCAAGTAATTTACCATCTCTGGCCAGTTTCCCCATCTGTAAAATGGAAGTTATGCTAGTATCTACCTCATATGGTGATTGTGGTGATTAAATGAGCTAAAACATGTAGAAGTGCTTAGAACTGTAGTTTAGTAAGGACTCAATATATATTACCTATTGTTAGCTCTTCCTTGATTTGAGTTTTATTATCAACTGCTAGTTGTTCCCTGTAGGGGTCTCTTTTGTGTTCCCTTTTATACTGGCCCTTGAAGAAATGTGAATTTACATTTGGACCTAAATCAAGGTATTGCCACTTATGTTCTCTTTCTACAAATATAAAATTTTTGTAGTGTAAAATTTGAAGTGTCCTTGGAATTGGAAACATAGAGGCAAAAGGAACTGCTTCATCTATGTCAGTCTCCCTCTCTCCACCAACTTCAAATTATTAAAGTTGTTTTCAAAACTTATTTAATACTTTGTCATAATCTTAAAGTGAAACTTTAAGTTGTAAGTGCTTGATGTGTATTTAAGTGCTTATTATTTTTGTATGTCTCCATTGGACTCAGTTAATGTGTTATTCATTTAAAATGCCTATGTATGGGCCGGCTCCGTGGCTTAGCGGTTAAGTGCGGGCGCTCTGATGCTGGCAGCCCGGGTTCGGATCCCGGGCACGCCCCAAGGCACCACTTCTCCGTCCAACCCGAGGCCGAGTCCCACGTACAGCAACTAGAAGAATGTGAACCTATGACATACAACTATCTACTGGGGCTTTGGGGGGAAAAAAATGAATAAATAAAATCTTTAAAATGCCTATGTACAAAGTTTGTTACCTTTCCAATTGTGTGATGGATTACTTTGTCACTCTGCTGTTTATAATTCCTGCTTCCTTACCTCTGTGTCTTTGCTTATATTGTTCAATCCATCTAGACTATTTATTTCTCCATTTCATCTCCTCTATGTTCAAATCTCGATCTCGGTGGTAATTACCTGGGTATATATATGTAAAATGTCATCAAGCTATATGTTTAAGATTTTTGCACTTTACCGTACCTCAATACTTTTTTTAATCCCCTCGTGGTGAAGGCAGAGAAACTTTTTTACTTGGAGTAGATGTTAATAGTGTACTGTATAAAAATAAATAACGCAGAGTTTGGCTTCCCTACTCTTGAAATGTTGCTAATTGTTAGACCAACAAGTCTTTATTTCTGAGGTTTTTCTTTTGTTTACTACACTGATTAGAGAAAAGATGTAAAGTGATAGCTTCTTTCAGCAATATAACATTTTACTATAAGAATTCCTTTTTAAGGTTTTGATCATGTATATTTACTTTAAAAGTTATTTTCACTTTAGAATATTTTAGCCACCAGACAGAAGATAATCAAATGTCAATTTCTTATTAAATTTGAAAGAGTTGTTCTTTATTTCATGAGACATTCTTATGTGACATAAAAAATTAAATTTCTGTAATTCTTTTCATTTACTAGTTACCAAAATGTTACTTCAGTATTTCTAAAGTATTTCAAAACCTTCTTTTGATTTTTTACCTAATGTAATTGTATTGCTTTGCAGATGGCAGAAGATTTTTTCATTTAACGTGTGGGGTAAAATTGCAACTTTCTGGAACAAGGCTTTCCTTACTATTATAGTCCTGTTAATTGTTCTCTTTCTAGGTAAGTACTAGATTCCTCCGTTGAATAAGTGTAACTCTAGTTTTTTTTTTAATTAATGATTCATTGGTTTTTAATTAACTTGATGTTGCTGTTGATACGCAGTTGACTTTATATAGTGTATTGATAGTACATGGAATTGATATTGATACACAGTTGATAGATATTACTGTTCTGTATGCACAAGCATAAAATTCAGCTGAGTGCAGTGATTCTTAACCTCTTTTAAGTTGTTTTAAGATTTAAATGCAGCAATGTGTAGCCCACTTTTCAGAGTTACCAGTTATACAATCCTTTGTTACTGTGGTAACCTAGGCACCTGGGGACTTAGCTGTTAGGGAGGCAAACAGGAATAGAATCATTAGACCCTCAAAAAGAGTCCTAGATGGATGGTGTGAATCTTGATTGGAACCTGGTTGAAAAACTACAACACAGACATTTGGGCAAAAATTTGAATATGGACTGGTTGTTAGATAATATTAGGGAATTTTTATTAAATTTAGTTATAATAGCATTGTTATTATAGAGCAGAGGCCAGCAACCTACAGCCTGCGGTCCAAATGCTTATTTTTGTAAATAAAGTTTTATTGGAACATAACTATGCCAGTTTGTTTACATATTGTCTATGCCTATTTCCATGGACAACTATAGAGTGGATAGTTGGAACAGAGACCCTGTGGCCTGAAACATTTACTATCTGCCCCTTTACAGAAAAGGTTTACCAACACCTATTATATAGGAATAGGTCCTGAATCTTAGGAGATGCATGCTGAAATATTTAGGAATAAAATGTCATGATATTTTCAACTTACTTTCAAATGGTTAAAAAAAAAAAACAGATAAAGTAAATATGGCAAACAGTTAACAATTGTTAAATTTAGGTGGTGGAAATATAGATGTTGATTATACTCGGCTTTTAGCATGTTTGAAATTTTCATGATAGCAAGTATCTTTGAAATTAGAAGAAGAATTTCTTGTCAAACCAGAAATTCCATGAGTCTTAATAATTACAATGTTTTTTAAGAAGAAGTCACTGAGCTCAAAGAAATTAAGTCATTTGTTTTAGATCAGTCAGCTCCTTCTTGGCACTTCAGCTTTTGATACACATTGTAGATCACGTTTTCCCTCAGAGTTGTGTTGTGGGTTAAGTAGGTTTTACAGGGGCCATCTTGGAACCGTTACCACCGTGTATGTTGTACATGTTTTGTGAGAAAACGTTTCCAACTTTCCAAACGTCGAACCTCTGATATGGAATCCTCTTTGTAAAACTGGGAACAGCTGGTGTGAGAGAGTGTAAGTAGGTAAATGTATCAAGATGTGAATGGGTTTGTGCCTCATTTCAAAACGTCAGTATTTGTCTCGTGGTACATTATTGTTAATGTATCGATTGACTCTCCAACCATATAAGAAATAACGTGAGTAAAGAACAGTAAGGACAACAGGTCCCAACTCTGCCGCCAGCTAGCTAAATGACCTTTGGAATGGCATTTCATCTCTCTGAGTTTGGTTTATCCTTTTGCAAAGTACAGAAAGAGGAGGAAATAATTTCTGCAACTCCCAGTAGCTCTAGAAGAGTATTGTAATCTTCTAACTCTAAAATTGTCGCAAGAATTTTTACTGAAACTGCCACATACCCATATAAGGAAGGGGAGCTGTAGTCAAGGGTCTTTTGGTGAGGAAGAAAGGGGAATTTATAATCAAGTATGGAATTGTTTCAGAGCAACCCAGGGAAGGAAGGAAGGAAGCCAAATTCCAGAGAGGGACTAGTCCCAGGAACTGAAGTGTCCTTTTCATGTCCTTTTCTTATCCTGCATTTCTCCCTGGGTGTACTTCATTCTTGCTTATCTTTATGGACTCTGATACTCTATTCCCAAGGCAGAAAATGGGCACCACACAGCTGCCAAGTGTTATCACTCCAGCCATATGCAAGAATTAATTACCATTTCTGAATCCTAATTCCAGTTCTAAGGGAAAAAATCAGACCAGTTAGCACCAGGTCTCCAACCCTTGTCTGGTAAGCTGCGGCCAGGAGTTGGGGTCACAAAGCAGAATCATGACTGCTGGCTGGAGACTACATCTGTGGGCAAAGTGGGTAGTTAATTACCAGAGAATAGGAACACCAGGGATGGTTAATGCAGGAGCTTTAACCAGGGATGGTAAAGGCAGGCAGATAGAGACTTACCCTTTAAGCCTCAGTGTTTCCATCTCAGGATAGGGTAATAACACCTACTTCGCTGAGGTGTTTGAAGGCTTAAATGTGGTAATGTATGTAAAGTATATAGGCAAGTGTTCTTGTCCATTAGAATGACAGTGGTGTAAATAATGCAAAACCCCAGTAGATTACTCAAGCTTAATGTATATTTTACTTTGGAATATATTTTATTTTTCTTGTTGGTTGTCTCTCTAATAAGGTAATCATTACAAGATGTTTCCATTCCTAGAGCGAATACTGACTGAAAAGCATGTATGCATCTGTACGTGTTTTGTGGGTGGAAATAGGCAGAAAGGAAGCAGGAAACCCAGGAATATGTTTAGTATCAGCAGAAATGCATCCCGGGAATTTGAGAGTTTCCACAGTGATCTAAAAAAAGACTCTTTCCACATGGTTTATAGAAAACCGACTATATGTTACACCCTCTCCTTATTGTTACCCCCATTCCACTTTCAGACATGGTCTGCTTGTTATTATACAGGCAATTCAGGCAATTCGTTCTACAGGTGGGTTTGTATAACCATTTACGTTTATAAACCTCTTTGATATTATTGGTTAATCTTCAGCATTTCTGCATAATGGATCCAGGAGTTGTTGCCGAGGAAGCTGAATCACAAGCGTCAAGACCCTTCATAGTACTATTTAGTTTCTCTGGCCTACTCAAAATAACTCATAAATACTATTTTGTTTGTTTGGGGGGTTGTTTTTTAGTGGTTGGCATGCACTTACTATATTACTGAGACAATCTGAGAAATGACAAAGGGGAAATAGCCATTAAAACCAAGGAAATTTTTAAAAAATAATTTAACAGACTACTTTTTATAGCTCTATGCAAATAAACTTGCAAAACTAGATGAAATGAATAATTTTGTAGAGAAATATGATTTACTAAGTAAACCCTAATAGATATAAAAAATTTAAGCAGACCAGTTTCCATAGAAGAAATACAGAAAGTTATCAAAACTCTCCCCTCCTTCAGAAAACCAGAAAATTTTGCAAGAAATTCTACCACTTTCAAAAGTAACTCTTGTACATAGGACTCAAACTCTTACCTCCTTGGTGAGATATATTCTAAGAACAATAGGGATTGCAAAGAAATCTGAAACTGCACTTAGTTTCTTTGCTAGTAATTTTAAAACTATTTTCTGTATATTGCAGCATAAAGCAAATGAGTAAGTATGTTAATGGTATCAGAAACTAAGATTTTTCAGTAATAGAAATGGCATACAAATATGAAGTCAAAAAATTAAGAGGCTTTTTTTTTGGAGTGGTGGAAATGTCTTGGAACTAGATAGAGGTGATGGTTGCACAACATTGTGAATATACTAAATGCCACTGAATCACTCACTTTAAAGTGGTTAATTTTATGTTATATGAATTTTACCTCAATAAATTTTTAAAAATAATAATTTTTTAAAAGACATAGGAGTTCTGGTTTTGGTCATGGCAAAATAGCTTGTATTAGACTAACCGTCCTATAATAACAGTTATGAACTCTGGACAAAATACGAAAAACGTATTTGAAGGCCTGGGGTTTGAATGATGTGGAGAAACTGGAACCATCATACACTGATTGTGGGCATATAAAGTGGTACAGCTGCTCTGGAAAACAGTTTGGCAGTTCCTCAAAAACTTAAACATAGTTACCAAAGACCCCGCAATTCCACTCCTAGGTATATACCAAAAGAAATAAAAACATAGGTCAGTACAAAAACTTGCACATGAATGTTCATAGCAGCATTATTCATAATAGCCAAAAGGTGGAAACAATCCAAATGTCCATCAGTTGATGAATGGATAAACCTAATGTGGTATATCTGTACAATGAAATATTATTTGGGCATAAAAAGTAATGGAGTACTGGGGGCTGGTCCGGTGGCATAGTGGTTAAGTTCATGCCGTGCGCTTCGCTGGCCTGGGGTTCGTGGGTTCATATCCCAGGCACGGACTGATGCACTGCTTGTCAAGCCATGCTGTGGCAGCGTTCCATATAAAGTAGAGGAAGATGGGCATGGATGTTAGTCCAGAGCCAATCTTCCTCAGCAAAAAGAGGAGGATTGGCAACGGATGTTAGCTCAGGGTTAATCTTCCTCACAATAAATAAATGAGGAAAAAAAGGAGGGAGGGAGGGAGGACTGATAACCTGCTACATGATAGATGAACCTTGAAAACACCATGCTAAGTGAGGGAAGCCAGACACCAAAGACCACATAGTGTATGATTCCACTTATATAAAATGTCCAGAATAGGGAAATACATGGCAACAGAAAATAGATTGGTAGTTGCCAGGAGGTGGGGGAAGGGAGAAATGGATATGGAGTTTCTTTTCAAGTTGATGAAAATATTCTGATATTAGGCCAGTGGAGGTACAAGCAAGTTAGACTGCTCCTTTAATGTAGCCATCAGCATTCTTAGGAAAGAGTTATTGCCATACAGGAGAGAGATTCCAGTTAGAAAATGGGGTCATTTTAACTATTATTTTACTTTATTTTGTTTTTTTAATAGCTTTATTGAGATATAATTTACAAACCATAAAATTTACTCCTTTAAAGTGTATAATTCAGTGGCTTTCAGTATATTCACAAAGCAACTTTGACAATACAATGATGATAAGTCCTAGATGAATAGTAAAAAACAAAAATGCTGTTACATTCAAAGTTCACCGCTAGTATCCATTTACAGAGCATCTGTTTTGAGCATGGTACCCTCCCAGGTATTGTAGAGGAAAAGACAAAAAGAGAGCCCCTACCTAAAGTTCATTATTGAAAAGTTACGTCAGTTATTCTAAAACTGCTTCCCATTTAAATAATAATTTTACATTCTTAAAAGCCAAAAATAATGTTTTCTCTTTTTCTTTAATAGATGCTGTGAGAGAAGTAAGGAAATACTCCTCTACTCCTGCCATTGAAAGGAGCTCAACCAACAGACCTAGTGTTTATGAACATACACAGATGAAACTTTTTAGGTCTCAAAGAAATCTTTACATTTCCGGATTTTCATTATTTTTTTGGTTGTAAGTAAAAAAAAAAAGCACAATGTAAGAACATGATTTATGTTTCTCTTTCTCATTTTTTCTACCTATACTATAGGTTTTTTCCTGTACTATGTAGTATACTAACAGCTTCATAAAAGAACTCAGATGATATACCCAAATAACAAACAGTGGTTATGGCTTGTAGGTTTGTAGGTTTGATAGATCCGTAAGGCCCTGAGTGATCTGTCCCCTCTTCTTTCTGGAGCCTTGTCTCATACTGTTCTCTCATGTGTACACCACATTCCACCCACACTGAACTTCACTGTTCATTCATTCGTTCTCGCAACAAATATTTATTAGTTCCTATTGTGTACCTAGTTCCCTCCTGCTTCAGGGTCTTCACACCTGCTTTTCCTTCTGCCAGAACACTCTTCCCCTGACTAACTTCTATTCATCCTTCAGCCCTTTTCTGAGGGAAGCCTTCTGTGACCATTACTCCCCCCAAAGTAGGTAAGCCTCCTGTTTCATGCTCCCATGGAACATGTACATACTTTTCTTTCAGGTATCACTCATGGTTGTAATTAAATACTGTTAAGTCTTGGCTCCCCAGCTAGAACCTAATCTCCTTGAGAGCAGGGACCTGTCTCATTTCCTGCTGTGTCCCCGGTGCTCAGTACAGTGTTTAACACTTAGCAGCTGCTGAGGAAATGTCTGTCAGAGGAATAATTGAAGATATGGATTACTACTTCTGACAGTGGAAGTTACCCATAAACACGTGTGAATGAGCAGTTTTTGGGCTTGGCCAGCCTGACACAATGTTCTTTAAATAGAAAACTTTGAACTGGGCCAAAAAAAAGACTTCTCTTACTGGCCCTGCCACACTGTCTGAAATTTTGTTTCTGCTCCTCCTGGCTAAATACCTCTACAAAGAATTTAATTAAATTAATAAGTACCACTGAGCCTGTATTCCAAATATTGGTCTTCTAACAAAGATTCCAAAGGAATGAGACACAGGCTTGTCTTGACTGGAAGACTTGGATTTTAAAAAAAAGCACTGTCCTCCTTAAACTTCACCTCCCTCCACCACACCCATACCTAAAGCAGAGTCATTTGACAATGACTGTTTTAAAGTCACAGTTCCTGATGATTGGTCTAGTTATGCATTACTCTGAGATTTTTTTTTTTTTTCCCTAGAGTATTGAGACGTCTGGTTACCCTTATTACTCAGCTGGCAAAAGAATTGTCAAACAAAGGAGTACTTAAAACTCAAGCAGAAAATACTAACGAGGCTGCCAGAAAATTCATGGCAGAGAATGAAAAACTAAAACGGGTATTTAAATTTTCTTTTTAAAAATTTGCATAAATGTTGTTATTCCCAAGTAGTGGTATATTATTTTTCAATATCAAAAAGAACATTTTCATAATTTTTATAAGCTACAGAATGATTGTTTCAAATATATTTTATTTTTTAGATTTGTTTGCTTTCACAGTTTCCCTCCATAGTAGATTAATGCTATTGGACCTATGTCCTGTGATTCAAGGAGAAAACAGTATTCTGGGAATATGAATTTTAATTCTTTCATTACCGTTAATGTTACTTTATAACCTAAAGCAAGTCTTTGTAAGTCTCTTGTTTCCATTTCCTTTTAAGTTAAATTATTTTTTTAAGCCTGGTTTTTTGGTTTTCTTTGAAATGATGGTTATGTAAGAATCAAAGGAAAGTAGTTGATGTTAGATTGATGACTGCATATTATAATATTTAAAATCTTTAATTTGGTGATGCTGCTGATATTCCTTCTTTGAGAACCCTATGCTGTCCTTCCCCTGCCATTCAGGGAGAGTGTGAATCAAGTACTGATGTTTTCCCCATTAAATAAAAAGAAGTACAAATGAAAATGAAAGGTACAGAATTACTTTGGGTATTTTGTTTTCCTTAAGTTTAAAATATAGGAGTCAGGGCCGGCCCCACGGCTTAGCGGTTAAGTGTGCACGCTCCGCTGCTGGCAGCCCGGGTTCGGATCCTGGGCACGCACCGACGTACTGTTTCTCCAGCCATGCTGAGGCTGCGTCCCACATACAGCAACTAGAGGGGTGTGCACCTATGATGTACAACTATCTACTGAGGCTTTGGGGGAAGAAAATAAATAAATAAATAAAATTAAAAAAAAAATATATAGGAGTCAAATCTTGTAGCTTGAATGTTTTCAGTTCATATTAAGCCCCAGAGTTTTGCTAATTCTGCTTCTTAGAAAAAAGAATCGGTGGAACCATTTAGAAGGGAAACAAATTTTCTTGAAGAAAGCATTCCTAAAATAATGCAATAAGATTGTTTTCCTATTATAAATTAAAGAAATACAGTCAATTATATATTACTTAAGTTATATTAGTGTTAAATGTATTGTGAGTCTGACAGTAGAGAATTAAAATCCTTATCCAAGTCCTAAAGCAAGAACTATAAGCACCACTTTGCATCAATTCTAAATAAGTTAGCTATTACATAGTACAATATAAAGCTTTGTAAAACCTATTAAATAAGGCAAAACTAATTGCAAAAAATTGTGTTTGATGCTGCAGTATCATGGTCACCTATTCAAAACTCATGTTTTACTTCTTATGATATCTAGTTATTTATAGTACAACAAAAGGGTAAAGAAAGACCTTTTGTCATAGAAACATAATTCGAAAGTGTTTCTTTGGGTAGATTTTAACCAGCATCTTTTAAGGAAACTCTTAGAGACTAAGTACCAGTTTATTTATTTATTTATTTGATTTTTTGTATGTGTGAGGAAGATTGGCCCTGAGCTAACATCTGTTGCCAATCCTCCTCTTTTTGCTTGAAGAAGATTGGCCCTGAGCTAACATTTGTGCCAGTCTTCCTTTATTTTACATGCGGAACGCTGCCACAGCATGGCTTGATGAGTGATGTAGGTCCATGCCTGGGATCCAAACTCGCAAACCTTGGACTGCCAAAGCAGAGCTTGCCAAACATAACCACTATGCCACCTGGCCAGCCCCACCAGTTTATTTTTTTACTTTGTTTTGTTCTATTTTGAAAAAGCATTGAGGGCTGGCCCCGTGGCTTAGCGGTTAAGTGTGCACGCTCCGCTACTGGCGGCCCGCGTTCGGATCCCGGGCGCACACTGACGCACCTCTTGTCCGGCCATGCTGAGGCCACATCCCACGTACAGCAACTAGAACGATGTGCAACTATGACATACAACTATCGACTGGGGCTTTGGGGAAAAAAAGAGGAGGAGGATTGGCAATAGATGTTAGCTCAGAACCAGTCTTCCTCAGCAAAAAGAGGAAGATTAGCATGGATGTTAGCTCAGGGCTGATCTTCCTCACAAAAAAAAAAAAGAAAAGGCATTGATCCATAGAGGTTTTGTGAATTTCCCTTTGTAGTAAATATAGGCCTTGAAAATCAAGCTGTTCATCTTTGTGTGTTCAAAAACAAGCAGTAAGTCATTTTTGCTTTTTTTGGAATGTTTCAGCAGCACAATCAGCCTCATTTTGTACCTTAATATTATTTGCTTCATTTTCCATTGGTCTCATTATCACAATGGTAAAAACAAAAACAAAACCCTTAAAGCTTTGATTAATGTATGATGGCTAAACTCAAAAGTACACAGCCTTGAATGTGTAGACTTATCGTGTAACTATCTTGGTTTAAAATTATGCCCATCGTCACAGCTAACATCATACCCAACAGTGAAAAACTGAAAGCTATCCTTCTAAGAACAGGGACAAGACAAAGATGCTCACTCATGCCATTCTTATTCAACATAGTGTTGGAAGTCCTAGCCAGAGCAATTAGGCAAGAAATAGAAATAAAAGAGATCCAAATTGGAAAGGAAGAAGTAATACTGTCACTATTTGCAGATGACATAATTTTTTTTTTCAATTATTTTATTGAGGTCATAATGGTTTATAACATTGTATAATTTCAGGTGTACATTATTATTTATCAGTTTCTGTATAGACTGCATTCTGCTCACCACCAATAGTCTAATGTTTATCCATTGTCATATATAGCGGATGATGTAATTTTATATTTAGAAAATCCTAAAGAATCCACCAAAAAAAAAAAAACTATTAGAAATAATTAACAGGCCGGCCCTGTGGCTTAGCGGTTAAGTGCTTGCACTCCGACGCTGGTGGCCCGGGTTCGGATCCCAGGTGCGCACCGACGCACCGCTTCTCCAGCCATGCTGAGGCCGTGTCCCACATACAACAACTAGAAGGATGTGCAACTATGACATACAACTATCTACTGGGGCTTTGGGGGGAAAATAAATAAATTAAAAAAAAAAGAAATAATTAACAAATACAGTAAAATTGCAGAGTGAAAAATCAACATACAAAAATCAGTTGTGTTTCTCTCTGCTAACAGTGAACCAGCAGAAAGAGAAATCAAGAATACAATTCCATTTACAATTGCAACAAAAAGAATAAAATACCTAGGAATAGATTTAACCAAGGAGGTGCAAGATCCATGCACTGAAAACTAAAAAACAGTGTTGAAAGAAATTGAAGAAGACATAAAGAAATGGAAAGATATTCTGTGCTTTGGAAAGAAATTGAAGAAGACATAAAAAAATGGAAAGATATTCGTCTAATTCATGGATTAGAAGAATTAACATACTTAAAATGTGCATGTTATCTAAAGCAATCTACAGGTTCAATGCAATCTCAATCAGAATCCCAATGACATTTTTCACAGAAATAAAACAATGAATTCTAAAATTTATATGGAACAACAAAAGACCCCAAATGGCCAAAGCAATCCTGAGAAAAAAGAACAAAGCTAGAGATATCACAGTCCCTGATTTCAAAGTATACTGCAAAGTTATGGTAATCAAAATAGCGTGGTACTGGCAGCAAAACAGGTACACAGATCAGTGGAACAGAATTGAGAGCCTAGAGGGCTGGCCCAGTGGCGCAAGCAGTGGAGTGTGCGTGCTTCGCTTCGGTGGCCTGGGGTTTGCAGGTTCCTATCGCGAGCGTGCACCGACGCACCACTTGTCACGCCATGCTGTGGCAGCGGCCCATATAAAGTAGAGGAAGATGGGCACAGATGTTAGCTTAGGGCCAGTCTTCCTCGGCAAAAAAAAAGAGGAGGATCAGCATCGAATGTTAGCTCAGGGCTGATCTTCCTCC